TTTCTAAAATTATTTCAATTAGTTTTAATTTTAAATTGATTTTATCAATTTTATTATATAAAATAGTTATTTATTTTATTTTTAGAATTGAATTGATTTATTTTAAATCAAAATCACTCTCTAATTTGAAATTAAATAATTACATTAAATTAATTTAAATTTTTTCATTCATTAATTTTGATTTGATTTTAAATAGATTTTACAATTTAATTATTATGTTATCTATTAATTAAATAAATAGAAATATAAAAATTAAAGAAAAACAAAAAAAAGTGAAAATGTAAAAAAAAAAAAAAAGTTGAACCTGTCAAATCAATCGGGTTAACTAGGTTTAAGTAGGTTTAATTGGGTCTGAGCGGTTTTGATTGGGTCTAGATGGGTTTTGATCGGGTTAACTTCAAATGGGTTATTAGCATCATCTAACCCATTTTTAAAATTGAGTCTAGTTCAACCGGTTAAATCGACTAGACTAAGTCGAGTTTCAAAACAATGGGTGAAACAAAAGTTAACAATGTATTATACCTTGTTAAAATTTTTCAACCAATAAAAAATTTAGTAACATCAAACATGTTGCTGAAGCTCATAAATTACCAACATGACTTACATTACTATTTTACATTAGTCAGTCACTTCACTTGACTTTCAATCGTAAGACTATCATTATAACATGCATATACTTATATATACCCCTTTCTTGCTTTCTAATATTTACTATTTGTCCCTTACTCTCTTAATTCAATTTGTATCTTCTTTCCCTCACATAGTTTTTTTCTTTATTTTATTTATAAACAATTACTTTTGTAAATTATTAAACTCTTTTTCTATTGCTTTATTAACAAATATTTTTCTAATCTATCTACAACAACCTTTTTGTTCTTACTTATGATATTTGCTAAATGAATAATCAATGATATTTTGATAGCCAATATGATGGTATAAGAGGAATCCATTACTTGATTTTAATTTTTAATGTATGAAAATTGCCAAATCATAGTTTCTTTTTCCATGAAATTTTTTAAAATTTAAGAGAGTAAAATTGTGGCAACTTAACACACCACATTGGCACTTTCGTCGACAAAAGGCCCAACTTGGTAACAGGAAGATAAAATTTAAGGATAATTTTGGTAATTTTAAAGTATGGGATGAAGTTGGTCTAAGAAGTAAAGTTGAAGAACCAAATTAGGTATTTAAACAACCAAAAATCTGCTTTTTAGTTTTAACAATATAATTCATTTTAATGAGTTCTAACTTTTTAAAATTTAAATATTTATTAGCATCATGGAATACGTTGGTGATTGGGGGGGTTTAGGCAGACTAATAACATTCAACAATGTGATAAATGATGCTAAAAACTCTATATATACCAAAAAATTGCAAGCACTCTTCATTTCTTTCCTTTTTTCTCCCTTCTCATACAATTCTCTCAATTTCTCCTCCCCTTCTCTGCATCAGTGATAATACTATCTTCTCCTCCATTTCTCATCCATTGTCCACCAAGTATCCTCCATTTCTCCTCCCTTCTCATCCAATTCTCATCCATATATCATTTATTTAATTTGCATCAATTCATCAACTCCTTGATTCTCTTTAATCCTATGTTACGATTTTACTTTATTTAATATTTTGTGAATATTAAGTGTTTAAGTTGATTTCAATTTATTTTCAAGTTTATGAAAATGTAAATAACTATATATAGTAATTAACATTTTTGGTATTTTATTTGTTTTGTAGGTAATTCTATTAAAGTTGAAAATCAAAGTATGGTAAGATCCCTAAACCCACATTAACTAGCTTGAGTTGTCTAATATAAGTGTATTTAATTAAACATGTATAAATGGTCAATATAGATATTAATTATTTAATTATATTTATTTTTTATAAGTAAAATTTATTATATTACATGTGAGCTATTATTGAATATACTTATGGTTATTGTAATTATAAAAATAAAATGAAGTTCATATTTAAATTATGCTTTATATATATATATATATATATTGAAACCAATGAAAATCATTTATGATTTTGTGGGGAAATAGATATTTCATCATATTACTTTCAAAGTGGTTGCTTAATGGTGTATATATATATATATATATTTGTATCATAATATGCTTTTAATTTTGGATAAATGTGATAATAGAATTAAAGAAATAGTTATGTGATTTTATTCTTTTATAGCATTAATGTTTATTTGAGTAATGATGGCATGAAATTGTTTGAGATGTATAGAATTAATGTAGACAAAATTTTCAAATGTTAGTAGAATTGTCACGCCTCAGAACCTAAATCCGAGAGCGTAACAGACGCCATACACTTGTGAGACGAGTCCTACAAGTGCACAAGGCTCGAAACTTACTCAACAAAATCAGTTTTGATACCATAAAATTTCCAATTAAAATCCAACTTACAAGAGCATGGTATATATATCTAGAATCTATGTCAAATCTCAAGTGGCTAGCCTTCTACCATGTCACTCCCCTTGATTTCCATGTCTCGGGTCACATTACCTGAAATGGTGGGTAAGGAAAAATGAGGTGAGATAACTCAGTAAGTAAAATATGGATAGCCCATAATTAAACTCATAGCATGTCAACAAGTGTAATCAGAAAAACGGATACAGTACGGGAATGAAATAGACGTCTCCTCTATAGGTCATGGCTAGTGTTATAAACCTCCCACTGACAGGCACATGATTTACTAGTGTATAATCCCACTAGCAGGATAACAGAAATGAACTGGTTCCATCAGTAACATGTCGACATGTGCTAGCGTTTATAAACCTTCCCACTAGCAGGCACACGAATAACATGACCATATCGGAGACAAAACAGGCAAAAGTTAACAGAAAAATCATAATTCACCATTCACTTTCAGATCATCAGGACAATCAATTAAATTTCAAGTAGGCATGCTCAATTTAATGAAAAGCATAAAAATCTCACTTCAAATCAGTCATGCTCGTGTAAAATGGGTTTAGCCCCGCCACCATTTCAAATCAAAAATTTGCTTTTAAAAGCTTTACCTTAAATCCAGGGCATTACCATAAATTACTTACCTTACTCGCATAAAACCGAAAACTCGATCTCAGTGCTAAACTGACAGAACGATCAAGAATCTAATCAAAATATCCAAGAATTAATTATCATACCACGAATTCAAAAGTAAAATCACCATGAGTACCCCCTAATCACGATGCTATTTCTATCAGTCTCCACATAACTAGACATCTCCAAATTTGTTCTTATATTAAACTAAACATTCAATCCTTTTTCTATTATTGCCGGTCATTAATCTCATCAAGCAATATTGATTTCTTTATTTTATTTTATTTCCTTCTTTCCGAAAATTGAGCACTAAAATCAATTGT